TCCAAAATTTCAGCTTCCTATCTTTTGTGGTTTCCATGATAGTAATTTTTCAGGTCGAAACATACGCGAAAGCAGAGCCTGAATTTGTGGAATTGAATGCAGGAAGGAGCATTACCCTAAAGTTTCCGCTTTCTAGCTTTTGTGCTTTCCGAATCAAAAAGTGTGGACAAAACGCACTTGAAGACACACAACCACACACACACACATACAGGGAGGCGTCAATGTGCGTTTTGTGTTGCTGTTACACAACATAAAATGCATAAAAACTGCCAACTGCATAGCTGGGAAACCATTCCAAGAAATGTGGTGTTACTATAGGTATTTCAAGTATCTTCCAGGAGAGTAAACTTTTGAGAAAAGAAATCGGTAAGTTGCATTCACAACCGCAAAACCGTACTTGTTGAGGTAGATGGTCCATTGAGCTGCTGCGACACAGCCATACAAGCACTTGCTGGTTGGAATGATGGTGTCGTACGGTTTGGCGGTCCAGGCATATCGAAATCAACTAAAACCCACAAAAATAACACTAAGCAAGAACATGCTGCCCATTCCCCCTTACAATTTTTGTGTAAATCTAATCGAACTTATTCGTTCTAGCTACATCTAAGCATCAGCTTCATAAACAGGGAAACCCTTTACCGAATACGGGTTTTTGTAAGACAGTTTCCATTCGCGTGAGCTCAGTTTTTTCGTTTTCATTCAGAGGTACTTACTTGTCTTTTCGTCTATACTTATCAGTTCCATATTAATCGAACCATAAAAATATCACGGAAGAATTTACACTAACGTCCCTCCAAGAAGCTTACGAGGATTCGGCGGACTGCGAAACTACCAAAAAGCAAACTCTGCGCCAGCTGCGATGAAAACATAATTAACTATCCTGAGCAACTGATATTAAAGCCGTATTAATGCAATCTATTCTACCTTTCCACTGCGTTTTTATCAAAATTTATAGCTGAAATACTTGGACCAGCTCTAGTTCATAGTTTAGTTTTCCAACTATGCAGCTGACAACTTTCAATTTTTCGTCTTTTCTTCTGAAGTGACTGACAAGTTTAGCGAGGAATTTCTTCGCACCTTCGCTATCTGCACCTGCAAGGTCAACCTGGATGCTGCAATCTGCTTAGCAAAGGAATTTTTTCAAAAGTTGACTATGTGCCGGCACAGATTCGGTAATGTTTTATCCGTCTCAAGATTGCTTGCTGTGCATTTTGTTCAGCAGCACTCCCTGTCCCAGTTTTACTCCGAGTAATATGACAAAAAACGCAAAAAAGTGAAACCTCGAAAGCAGATATCAAAGTTTCCCCCCAAAAAAATATATGTATTCGACCTACCTAGTTGTGCTGGCTGCATGCCAGCAACTACACCAGCTCGCCCTTGCTCGTGCAATCGTTTGATCTTCTTTTCTTGTAATTCTTTTTGTATTTTGTAAATTTTTTCCGCCAACAAATGATAGTATTCTTCCTGAAAAAAGACACTGTTTCTGTTCAAATTGCTTTTAGCCAGCGGTGAAAGCCGTAGCTGCAGACAGGGAGCCACAACAGCATGTCAGGCCATCAAGAAATAATCGTTAGCGGAATGTGCAGAACCTGCTAGAAAAACCAAGAAGCGTGCCGCGCAATTAAGAGAATCGAAAACCAAAAATGTCAAATTTCCTGAACAAATGTTAGGGAATTTTGCACTCTTTCCCTCACCTTAACAACTAATCGCTGTCCCCCCTTCCTTCCCCTCCCCCTCCCCCATGACTCCTCCTCCATTCCTCCTTTAAGAGTTCTGGACAGAACAAATTCCAAATTTTTTTTTTTTGTGCCGATACTCCATACTTCAACCATACTGAGACATTTTTGCAGAACACAAAAATGTCCATACCCGATCATTGGCAACTTCAAACATCTCTCGTTCCACTTTTCGAGCAT